TAAAGCCAATCATATTAACTACTTGAGGGATTTGTTGACAAAGAGAGTATTCAAATCACACAACAAATTGAAGTGAGAATTACCTCGCGATGTCCTTGTTTGACAATCAATAGTGTTAGCGGATTATGACCTTGTTTGGCAATTAGCGGTTAGCGGTTAGCGTTTGCGGATTGTATTAGCGGTTAGCAAATAGCGGGTTTGACCAGCAGATTGTATCAGCGGTTTGTAAAAAGATGTTAGGTAAAATTAGCTGTTTAGATTAGCGGTTAACATGTAAAATGACCAAAAGAGTATAATAATAATAATAATAATAATAATAATAATAATAATAATAATAATAATAATAATAATAATAATAATAATAATAATAATAATAATAATAATAATTTTTGAAATAATAATAATAATAATAATAATAATAATAATAATAATAAGAAAAAAAAAAAAACAAAAATGATGTGGGATAAAAATCCCACATCGAAAGTTTTAAAAAATAAATGGCGTTGAGCTCCCTTATAAAAGGGAGCTCAACGCCAATTAGTTTCTCTTGCCTATCCCACATCGGATGGGCAAGATAAGAGAAGCTTGAGGCTTCTTTAAATAAAGAAGCCTCAGGCTTCTTACGGATTAGTGTAATTTTTTTATATAAAATAGAAATAAAAATGGAGGGTGTTTTTGGGGAAGAATTTTCCTTCCCCAAAACTCCAACCCCAAATGCTGCTCCGCGTTTGGGATTTCAGCGGTTTGGACCAAACTGTTGCTCCAAATCGCTGAGTAACCAAACATGGTTTTTGGCGTTTTGACAAATGGTGGATCAGTTATTAACCAAACAAGGCTTATATTAGCGAATTTGACTAGCGAATTATATCAACGATTGATAAAAAGATATTTGAAAAAATTAAAAAATATATAATTAAGCCAATCATATTAACTATTTGGGCGATTTGTTGACAAAAAGAGTATTCAAATTACAGAACAAATTGAAGTGTCCTTGTTTGACAATCAGCAGTTAGCTCTTCAATATTAGTATATATTTAATATTTTATACCCTAATTTTAATATTTTATACCCTAATTTTTATTTGCTCTCTCTTATGTCCCGTATTTGATTTCAACCATACCTATACAATTATTTTATTGACAATTATAATCAATATTGACTATATTATCTTGCATTTGTAAACTTAGAATTGTCTATTTAAATACACAAATTTAACATTCAATTATCTATGCATGACCAATTTCAATATAATCTTGTCTTGATATACCCTAAAGTACTTATTTAAAAAAAAAAATGGGCATTATCCCAATCGCGCAATGCGCGTAAAAAACTAGTAAAGAAGATAAATGCAAATCAACGGGGGACAGTCGTGTCCTTTACCTCTCAGTCCACGTCCAAGTATATTCAATATTCAACATTAAAATTAGGGATGTCAATCGGGCCAGACCACTCGGTTTCGGGCTAGCCCTGTCGGGTTGTCGGGTTAATCGGTTTATTAATATTTTATTCTCGGGTTCGGATTGGCCCTAACCCTAAACTTCGGGTTGTCGGGCTAATTGGGCGGGTTGAACAATCTGAACTAAAATTAGAAACTGAAAGTGAGTACCCATATTTAGAGTAGGGATGACAACGGGTCGGAGCGGGTCGGGGGCGGGAAGTATACTCCCCGTCTCCGTCCTCAATGGAAAATTGAAAATAGTCCCTATCTACGTTCCCGCGGAGAATTTGACGGGGTCAAAGAATCTCGTCCTTATCAATTTTCAGTCAAAATATTATATTAATGTTGTTTTAAATTTTAAAAAACTAAAAACTTAAATTTAAATTTAAATTATATATATATATATATATATATATATATATATATATATATATATTTAATTATAATAATTATTCTATGTATGTTAGGTTTCACATCACTTCTATAATAAAGAATAGTTTTCAATAGTTCGGGTTGTCGGGCTAGCCCTATCGGGCTACCGGGCTAATCGGTTTCGGGCTCGTCGGGCTAATGTGTTTTATCGGGCTAGCCGGTTCGGGCCATAGCCCTATCGGTTTCGGTTTTATCGGATTGGCCCATCGGATTCGGGTTAAATTGACATCCCTAATTAAAATACGTATGGGATTTGAAATGCATATGCAATTCGTCATACTGTTCAATAAATTCAATTAAATTGGATTAGATATGTAGTATCTTTGATCCTCCATTTCACACCTAAGGGGGCGTTTGGTTCATATTATTATTATTATCATAAATGCTTTAACAGTTGTCAGGTATCAAATGCTTTTTTTTTATGGTCAAATGCTTAGTAGGACGATGATGATGATGATGATAATAATGATAATAATAATAATGATGATGATGATGATGATCATCATCATCATCATCATCCTCATCATCATCATCATCATCATCATAATAATAATAATAATAATAATAATAATAATAATAATACACATGACATCCTAATCTGCAAAAACTTGGTGTAAACCTGCTAAAAATGCTAATTGCATTTTTTTTCCAAATTCATGGACTAATTTAGAGCTTATTCGGGTACAGTGGCTTAATTTCTATCCCCAAATAATTCAATGGCCTATTTGTACATTTTCCCTCATAATGATATACTTGAAAATGGTTGTTCATAATTTAATTTATATACAATATTGTTGTTGTCAGGGATGGAGCCAAAAAATTTTGTTGAGGAGGGACGAAGAATTAGGGACGGATTAAGAAATTTTTTCTAGTAAAGGCGAAACATTAAAACAAAATAGAAAATTTTAAAAAATAATAAATAAACTACCTAAGAAATATAGTTGTAAATATTGTTGGATATGAGGGAAAAATAAAACACATCGAAACTTTATAAAAATATTCATAATAAAATATGAAACATAATTAATTTGATAAAATAATTTGAATAGAAAACACATTATAAATTATACAATGTTATGTGTGTGTGTGTGTGTGTGTGTGTGTGTGTGTGTGTGTTAAATATTAAAAAAAAAACTATTAAAAACGTGACTGTGTTCAGACCATAAGGGAAGGAGTCAATAAATATTTAAAAAGCTATTTAAAACGTGACTCTGCTGAGCCCATATGGAAATGAGTTTAAAAAAGTTGTAAAATTATATTCATACTAGGATTTGAATCCATAACCTTTACTATTATCAAACATGTGTTGACCCAACCAATCTAACTCATTTCTTATTGGTATTTAATAGTTTTTTTTTTTATAATAATACTAAATCTTGTACTATATATATATATATATATATATATATATATATATATATATATATATATATATATATATATATATATAATCACACTCAGGTGCGACTGCTTCGCCCAGGACCGAAATAGGAATGGATTCTGTCTGTCCACGTGTCCAGATCTAATGGATGAGAAACACTGATATTTTAAAAAAAGTGCGGTGGCATTTTCGTAAATAATTGAACATCGAAGTGCAAGTAAAATGTATTACAAGTGCATGTAAAATGTATTATAGGTGCAAGAAAAAATTTACACTGAGCATTAATACTAAGTGCACCTATAGTTATAAGTAGTTGAACCTATAGTTCTAAGTAGTTGCTCACATAGTTATAAGTAGTTGCACCTAGATGCATGAATGTTTGCGGGTGGTTTTCAGGGGTATTACTCTCCGCTGAACTAAGATCAGTGAATGTTAACAAGGCAAAATTACATGCACTTATTGGTGAAAGTAGTTGCACCTATAGTTATAAGTAGTTGCACCTATAGTTATAAATAGTTGCACCTATATATAAGCACACCCAGGTGCATGAATGTTTGCGGGAAATGAATGCTAACAAGGCAAAATTACATGCACTTATAGGTGAAAGTATGTGCACTTGTAAGTGATTTTACTTGCACTTCGATGTTCAATTATTTACGAAATTGCCACTACATTTTTTAAGCTATTAGATCTGGGCACGTGTCGCGCCGTTCGCATATTCCTTCCTGGGCACTTATTCGCACCTGAGTGCATCCCTATATATATATATATATATATATATATATATATATATATATATATTGCACTCGGGTGCGAACGGCTCGCCCAAGCGCGAAATAGGAATGGATTCTGTTCGTCCACGTGTGCAGATCTAATGGATGAGAAACACTGATTTAAAAAAAAACGCGGTGACATTTTCGTAAATAATTGAACATCGAAGTGCAAGTAAAATGTATTACAAGTGCATGTAAAATGTATTATAGGTGCAAGTAAAAATTTACACTGAGCATCAATACTTAGTTGCACTTATTGTTCTAAGTAGTTGCACCTATAGTTCTAAGTAGTTGCACACATAGGTATAAGTAGTTGCGTCTAGGTGTATGAATGTTTGCGAGTGGTTTTCAGGAGTATTACTACCCGTTGAACTCAGATCAATGAATGTTAAAAAGGCAAAATTACATTCACTTATATGTGAAAGTAGGTGCACCTATAGTTATAAGTAGTTGCACCTATAGTTATAAATAGTTGCACACATAATTATAAGCACATCCAGGTGCATGAATGGTTGCGGAAAGTGAATGCTAACAAGGCAAAATTACATGCACTTATAGGTGAAAATAGGTGCACTTATAAGATATTTTACTTGCACTTCGATGCTCAATTATTTACAAAAATGCCACCGCGTTTTTTTAAAGTTATTAGATCTGGACACGTATCGCGCGCTGATTCGTTCGCATTTCCTTCCTGGGCACTTATTCGCACCTGAGTGCGTCCATATATATATATATATATATATATATATATATATATATATATATATATATATATATATATATATATATATATATATATATATACAAAAATTATATATAGAGTGGAGATGGGGTGGGGTGACGGGGGCAGCTGCCCCCTGCCCTCTTTGGCTCCGTCCTTAGTTGTTGTCATACCTTATGTAATAGAATACCACTATCTATCGTTCAAAAAATACATTGTTTGGGAGAAGAAAAAAATACATTGCTCTCAAGCTATTTATGACAACTAGTGCAACTGCATGAAAAATGAGTCAAAGTATAGAATACTAAATATTGTTTTTATATCCAACTATATATTCCACCCAGGCCAACTACCATGTAGTGCGATAGTATTCCGGTTATCCATTCAAGTGGATGGTTAAAGGTTCAAACTTCAGTGGTGGGGGCTTAGATTCTTGGTGTTGAAAATGTTTGAGAAAGTATAGAACAGATACTAACTTGTAAAAAATCATAAGGATTTCATATATATATATATATATATATATATATATATATATATATATATATATATATATATGTATATATATATATATTCCCGCCAGAATCTTGAACTTCAACATTTTTGGGAAGATGTTCTTTCGCAAATACAAGTGGCATATGCAAAACACAGTAGTAGGAAGCTTTGGGCTTATCCCCGCAGAGTAGGAGGTGTTCTCTGTTGTGCGTAACAACAAAAATAAATACCTGGAAGGAAGCTCGCGATGTGTCGTTGCTTTAGTACAAAAAACGGCAGCGTTCTGTGTCGTGTTTGGCAACACTATCTTAAAGATATTTAACGACCAGGGTATCGTTATATCTCCGCCTGATAGCACAGAAACAAATACGCAGCTCAATATCAGAATTTGGGAATTAGAAATGGTGATTTTCGGTGTGTTGTGACACTGTAGGAGGATTGCTTTTATACTGCTACCATCCCTTCTTAAAGCCTTACCGTAACTGTAGGCTATGTGTGGCCAGGCAGCACAAGAATAGGCAGTAAGAGGTGATGCAACGCTGGCAGCACAGCCACACACATCTTAGCTTCCATCTTAGCTTTGAATGTTTCCCAACAATCCCCCACACATTCAAAGGTGTAAGGCTTGAAGGAGAGCAACTGAGCGTAACAAACAAGAGCTAGCTTTCATGTCAGTGTGTTAAACTTGAACTGACAAGTGGTGGCACTAAGTAATCCACTATCCGAGAGTGAACAGAATCTTGAACTCTTCACCTAGTTGAATTTTGAACTTATGTGCACCTCTTTAGCTCCATTTGTTGTACACTTCGTATAGTTATTGGATAACCAAGTATTAGCCCTGTTTTCTGTGTCTCAGCACAGACATTCCACTCCACCGAGTGTACTTTACCGTGGACTACAGCGAGTGGACTGATTTACAGTCTACTTATAAATGCGAGTCTTTCCATGATTTCGTTTGACCACCGAGGTGGTGTCCATCATGAATTTCTCACCTCATTGGCTTTTAAGCCCATCTCCCTTGATGTATCAAAGATAGCCTTTCGATTTAGGCCTTTCGTGAAAGGATCAACTATATTCCTTTTAGATTTCACAAATTCCATTGTGATTACCCCATTCAATATTAACTGCCATACAGACTCATGTTTGACTCTTATGTATCTTCTCTTACCATTGTAGACACTATTTTGTGCCACAAAAATGGCAGTTTGAGAATCACAATGAATGGGCACGACGGGAGCAGGACTCCCCCACAATGGCACGTCTGCCAATAAATTTCTTAGCCATTCGGCCTCTTGGCTAGCCAGATCTAAAGCTATGAACTCTGCTTCCATAGTTGATCTGGCTATGCACGACTGTTTGGTTGATTTCCAAGACACTGCAGCCCCACATAGTGTGAACACATATCCACTTGTAGAGCTGACATCATCACTGTCGTTTACCCAGTTCGCATCACAGAACCCTTCTAGCACAGCTGGGTATCCTTTGAAGTTGAGACCCCAGTCTAACGTGCCTCTAAGATACCGAAGTATCCTTTTTAGTGCGTCCCAGTGTGAGCCACTAGGGTTATGAGTGAAACGACTAAGTTTATTCACGGCAAATGCAATGTCGGGAGGTGTATAGTTCATCAAGAACATTAGGCTCCCAATTACTTTTGCATATTTTTCTTGAAACATACATGACTCCATGTTCTTCAGTAGTTTGACACTAGGATCGTAAGGAGTCTTAGCCCGAACAACATCATAACTGTCAAACTTCTTCAGAAGTTTTTCTATGTAGTGACCTTGGGATAGAAGGTAACCTATATTGGTTTTTGTGACTTTTATCCCGAGTATCACATCGATTTCTCCTAGATCCTTCATTTCAAACTGTTGACATAGAGTTCGTTTGGTTTCATTTATAGCCTCAATACTTGAGCTAAAAATTAACATGTCTGTAACAACCTGAAATTTTAAAACTTTTGAAGCTTATATAATAAAGGTGAAATCTCATTAATTCCCAAACATAACATAAAGAGTACGGGGTGCTATGCCACACCTGAGCTAGAGAACTCAGGTGCACAGGCTAATTAGCTAATATCCTCAATAATGTAAATACATAATCATGACATGCAGGTCGAAAGGGAAACTAACTACTTCTACGCTTCGAGGTTCTAGCGCGCTCCAGTGTCTTACTCTTCTGTGCCTGAAAGCCAAATATATCTTTTCAGCGAGAGATGCTGGTAACCCACTCCAACGCGTTGAAATACAATACATATAGATATATATACATAGATATACGAAAAACCATTTCGAAGCATGAAGATATATCCTAAGAGACTCTAGCTTTCAAATCAGGGGACAGAATCGACAGATAGGGGTAACCACAATCAGCAGGCATAACCAAGCATAGATAATTCACAAGCATACGACAGATAGAGATAAGCACAGCCAATAATCATAAGCAAGCATATGCAGTTTACTAGTATGGATCCTAAGGTCACGCTTTCATAACAGGCATAACATCAATCCTCCTTATCTCATCACATAGCACACTTTGTCGGCGCCACAGGACCAATCGCATGCCCATACATGAGGGTCAGCGCATATAGCTCTGACACGGCCCCGCAGCACCCTGCCCCGTATTGCAACACGGAGGGGTCGATCGCAACCGACCGATGAACCGCAGCTCATCATATGTTTGATCGCAACTAAACAGTGGACTGCAGCCCAAGAGTAGTCATCTGACCGCAGCCAGGAAATATGAACCACAGCTCATGTAGAAACGTTTGATCGCAACAAAACGGTGGACCGCAACCCAAGAGTGTAAATCTGACCACAGCCAGCTTCTGAACCGCAGCTCAGGAATAACCAATTCGATCGCAACCGAATTGGGGTATCATGCACACATAACACATAACAAGCACATGCAGCCCATATTAGCACATTGGAAAGGGGGAGAAATCGTATAACGAAACCTATGCGTGGTCATCCACAACTAAGAATAATCCTAAGGGGTTCATACTTCTTACACCTAGGCCAACGGGATACCAATTCCACTAGCATGCAATATGTAAGACTTATTCAACCTACGAATGGTACCCGAACATCAAACTAGACATAGGCACGATGAACGGGGTCCGTTGGGACACCACAGGGGTCGGAGGAACATCAAACGGGGAAGCCAAAATCCCAAGTTGGGGTAATTTCCAGCGGGTAGCCGGTGGGTGAGGGTTCACCCGCCGGCTGCCCGCCGGCGTCAACAGTTCCGGGCAGCGGGTGCCCGGCGGGCAGCTGCCCGCTGCCGGTGACGTCTCCATTTGGCCGCGGGTAGGTGGCGGGTCCCCTACCCCCACCTACCCCCCACTGACTCTTTTTCACAAATAACGCCCCGGGAACCTTTGTGGAACCCGAAACCATGCTTAGACACTTTCAAACGCAATTGATAACAGCACGTAGACAATTAACAGATCAAGATCAGGAAACATACGGCACATATCCTATCATGCTTTTCTAAACATAATTAACACCCAAACATGTGAATTCCCACCCAATACACCAAGAATAATACCACACGAGTTTCACGATATAACATAGGGTTCTAATTACTTTTAAATCAACAAGAACACAATTCATCTTTTAATATCAAGATTCGGTAGGAATATCCCATAATCATCAAGAACACCGTACAATTATCAAGAACATCACCTAATAATCAAGAACACCACAAAATCATCAAGAACTTCTTATCATCATCAAGATCATCAAGATTACCCATGGAATCATAACACAAATTACCAAGATCAATATAACGAATCATCAATCACACAAGAATATGGGAGAAATCCTAAGAGGGGAATCATAGCTATGAAAATAGGTTTTGTTGAGACATGGGTTACCTCTTAGCCTTAATTAATTCCTTGGCTATGAAGGGTCTTTCTTTAAGCTTTCTTCTTTCTTGATTTCTCCTAGGGGAATTCTTGGAATTCTTGGTGTGGTGAGAGATTATTGTGGTAAGGGTTTCTAGGTGCCTCCTAGGTTCCCTATTTATATATCTAAGAGTCTTTAGGATCCAAATACTATAGGCTTGCTAACTCTATTCCTTTTTGGACTAGGGGTTGGGTTTAGGGATGAGGGCCCACAGACTATGGTGGGCCTTTTCCTAATTAATTACTGTAATTTAATTCTTTCTTTTGGGTAGTTAGTTAAATGATTAATTGGTTTTAGGGGTCGTAACACGGGGTGTTACAATGTCATCCACATAGAGACATATTATTACAATACTAGATTGGACCTCTTTAGAGTACAAACAGGTATCTGACCGGTTAGTAGTGTAACCAAGGTCCATTAAAGTTTTGTGAAACTTTTCATTCCACTGCTTAGGGGCCTGTTTTAGGCCATAAAGAGATCTTTTTAGTTTACATACCTTTCCTTCTTACCCTGGATCAACACAACCAGGTGGTTGTTCCATGTATATCTCTTCTTCTAATTCACTATTGAGGAAAGCCGTTTTCACGTCCATTTGGTGAACTATCCAGTTGTGTAAAGAAGCCAATGCAAAAAGAACTCGAATGGTTCCCACTTTTGTCATTGGTGAGTATGAGTAGAAGTAATCATCACCGAAGTTTTCTTTTGAAGATCCATTTGCAGCCAATTGGCTTGCACCCTTTGGGTAGTTCTACCAACTCCCAAGTGTGGTTGGACTGAATAGAGTCCAATTCACTTTTGATAGCTTCTTTCCACAGAATGGAGTCGACTGACTGCATTGCTTATTTAAACATTTTTTGTTCTTCTTTCAATACTAATTAGCACACAAACTGGTCACACAGTTCATTTAAATCTTTTAGTTCTGTGACATATGTTATGAAGTCAGAACCAAAATTCTTCTCTATCCTGGGTCTTTTGCTTCTTCTGGGCTCATCCAAATCGTTAGTAATGGTAGGAAAGTTGGCATTATCATTTTGAGACAGAGTATGAACTGGTGAGACATAAGCATTTTTTAAAGGAAAGATATGTTCAAAGAATATTGCATTTCTGGATTCACACATAGAACGGTTTTCTAGACACATAAATCTATATGCTGCACTATTCTCGGCATATCCAACAAAAACAGCATCAAAGGTTTTGGGTCCTATGTTGGACCTTTTCAGGGATGGTAGACCCACCTTAGCCAATCATCCCCACACCATAAAGTGTTTCAGGTTCGGGGAGTGCCCTTTCCACATCTCATAAGGGGTTTTTTCGAACCCTTTATGTGGGACTCTATTTAAAATGTGGTTCGTCGTTAGAACAGCTTCCTCCCACATAGAGTCTGGTGCCCCAGAACTGATCAACATTGCATTTAATCATTTCTTTAAGGGTTCTATTTTTCCTTTTAGCGATGCCATTTTGTTGGGGAGAGTAAGGAGCAGTTACTTCATGAATTAGTACCCGAAGTTTCACATAAGGTTTTTAGCGATAAAGATTCATACTCTCCACCTCTGTCAGAACGAAGCCTCTTTATTTTCAAGTTTAACTGATTTTCTACTTCAGTTTTAAAAATCACAAAGTTTTGTTCAGCTTCATCTTTTGTTCTTAAGAGGTATAGCTTTGTAAAACGAGAATAGTCATCTATAAAGGTTATATAATACCGTTTTCCACCTTTATTTTCAGTAGTTTTAAAATCCGCTAGGTCAGAGTGAATTAATTCAAGAACAGAGGAAGTTCTATGAGTTATAGCAGAAAAGGGCTTCCTAGCAAATTTTGCTTTAGCACAAGTTTCACATTGGGAGCATGCATCATTAAACAAGTTTGGCAACATATTTAGGCTTTTTAATCTATTTAAGCACTTTGAGCCAACATGTCCTAATCTACCATGCCACAAATTAACTGAAATAGTAATATAAGCCGAAGGGGAAGCATTATTCTTGATAGATTCTGGTCCAATTACAGATATGTCTAACACAAATAATCCCCCCCTCCCCCCCCCCCCCCCCCCCGTATATACCCTTTTCCGAGAAAAGTCCCACACCAAGTCATAACCAATCGGTCTAACTCAAGGACAATTTTGATCCTGGGCTTATTAAGTAGGCCCCCGGACATTAAGTTTCTATGCAGAGAGGGAACATACAACACATTGTTCAGTAATAACTTCTTGCCAGAATTAAGCAATAACTCTACTTTTCCTCTACCACTTACCTAAAAAATGCTGGAGTTGTCCATGAAGACTTGTTTCCTCCAATGACGGGCTCGAACACCTTGAAAAAAGACTTGTTGTTGCAGAAGTGACGAGATGCCCCCGTGTCGACGACCCACTCGTCTGGGTCTCCGACCATGTTAATCTCAGTAATCACTGTTGCTACGGCCTCGTCATCCTCCGTGGTTTCTACCACATTTGCTTGATTTTTGGATTCGTCCTTCTCTGAATTTTTATTTGTGGATCCTTTGCGATGATACCACTGTGCAGCTCGGTGTCCACGTTTCCCACAAACATAGCACTCGTCGCCTTGCCCTTTTTCTGAATTTTTCCATTTTTGATGCGATTGTTGTTATTTTTCGCATTCCTTTTTTTTATTTTTATTTTGATCACCTTTTTTATGCCTATCATCTTTTCCTGTAGTCTCAACAATGTTAGCCTTTGAATTATAAGAAAAGGATTCAGATTTTTGTACCGTGCGATTTTCCTCTTCAATGTTGATGCTACAGATAAGTTCTTGAAGGGTGTAGTTGCGTCGCTCGTGTTTCATTTTACTTTTGAAGTCTACCCACGACTCGGGAAACTTATCAACGAGTGCATCGCACAGGAATGCATTGTTGACTTTAGCACCTTCAGTTCGCATATTAGAAACCATATTTTCGAAGTCATGTACCTGTTCCACCACGGTTTTGGATTCGGTCATCTGAAAAAATGCCGCCATCGTCCCACGACGTACTTCCTCTTACCGGTGTCATCGGAACCATATTTTTCTTGCAATTTTTCCCAGATAGCTTTTGCAGATTTTTCCCAGAAAACATGTCAAAAATAGAATTTGTTACTCGTTTAAGAATGGAGGCCCGCGCAGTTTTGTTGTCTTTCACATATTTTGGACAGACCTGCAATGTGCTTCGTACAGGCCTCAGTGCAGGAGCTTGATCAGCTACCTTGTCCGATTGATCAATTGTCTTATCCAACTTGTCAGCTGCCCCGGTTGTGGTAATAGTGGCGGTCGCAGTCGTGGCCGCGGTCGTAGCAGTCAGGATGATGGTGGTGGGATCATCATAAATCACGTAGTCAACATCCTTCTCTTCCAGCAGCATGATGATCCTTGCAGCCCATCGTTTGTAGTTCATACCGCCGGTGAGAATTTCGATGGGTGTGACATCAAAAGCTGGCTTCATTGCAGTAGACATCGCCTCCCTGATTTTAAATATCTTTAACCGTTGTGCGTAACAACAAAAATAAATACCTGGAAGGAAGCTCGCGATGTGTCGTTGCTTTAGTACAAAAAACGGCAGCGTTCTGTGTCGTGTTTGGCAACACTATCTTAAAGATATTTAACGACCAGGGTATCGTTATATCTCCGACTGATAGCACAGAAACAAATACGCAGCTCAGTATCTGAATTTGGGAATTAGAAATGGTGATTTTCAGTGTGTTGTGACACTGTAGGAGGATTGCTTTTATACTGCTACCATCCCTTCTTACAGCCTTACCGTAACTGTAGGCTGCTATGTGTGGCCAAGCCGCACAAGAATAGGCAGTAAGAGGTGATGCAACGCTGACAGCACACCCACACACATTAGTAGGAAGCTTTGGGCTTGTCCCCGCAGAGTAGGAGGTGTTCTCCAACTGTGTTATCAAATTTCTAAAGTGTTGTGTTCAATTATTTATTTACTACTTTATATTGAGTTTAGAATATCATTAGGAGTAATTGCTCGTATTTATACTCTGACTAGTTTTTTTTTATACGGCAAATTTATATTTCTGCATTATATCATTTTCAATTGATATCAGAGCATTATCACTCAAATCATTAGCGAGATTCTGGGGATACTCGAGTTTATATTGCAGGAAGGAAGAAGGCACGTCGATAACAAGCTAAGACCACCATTATTGAACGGAACTGAGTTAACAACTATGCTTATTGGAAGCTAGGATGAAGACTTTTATTAACTCACTAGATGAAGAGTGTTCCTCTCATAGTTACGGTTTTAGATGAGGTGAAAGAGAAATCGATAACTCAAAGAACATCATATGAAAAGAAGCTATCTACAACTAACAATAGAGCTATGAATGTGATTCATAGTGCACTCTCATCCCTTAAGAGAGGTCGGGGGTTATATGATGAATAAAATATAGGAATATCTAAATACTAAGAAAACACCTAAAATTTGAGGAAAATGTTGAAAGCTATTATGACACAATCATAATAGTTCATAGGCCATAGCTTATTATGACAGGCCAAATTACTTAGTAAAGAAATATAGGCTATAATAAATTTCTTCTACCTCGCGTTTTTCTTTTCCTTGTTTAATTTTTTTTTTTGGGAGGGGAATTGCATTTTTGGTCCTTGAATTATGCAATATCCACAACTAGTTGTTTGTCTTTCGATGTCCACTTTTATAAACGTGGGATCAATACATTATTTACAACTGGCCCCTTTTGTCTTTTTTATTTTTTATTTTGTATATAGTTATTATTATTATTATTATTATTATTATTATTATTATTATTATTATTGTAATTTTTTTTATTGTTACATATTACATAATCTTTCTTCCTTCTATATAATAAAGCCATAACTTTTGGCCAATCAAAACCTTGCATTTTCCCACCCAATGAAAGTGACGTCGTTTGGTATAAAGAATATTGCGTTAATTTTATTTTTTAATTCATTCAGTAATTGTCTATTATCAAAAGTATTTGTATTTGTATTAAAGACTAACTAATGCTCAGCCATGTTTTAGGTTTCCCATATAGAACAATAATAATTATATCGAAAAAGGGGATCTGAGATTAAAATTAATTATTAATTAATTAAACAATAAACCTAAACTATCTTTCTATATATTGCGAACAGTAATTCAAAAATCTTCAACCTTTATACTTTTGTTGTTTCATATTCCGGTGCAACACCATTATTGTTCTTCCATAATGGTTGAGTTGCTTTGGAACTCTACATCCTTCAAAGCTAATTTGAATTTCCCATTCTTCAGCCTTCACAAAACTCCTATAAATAATGGTTAGTGGTTAGTGATTTAGCTCTGAGATTACTCTTCACTACGTACACGAAAGCTATAAGGGTTAGATTGGTTCGCACATATTTAGTACCTGAAGGCCAGAACTTTAATGCAATTAAGAGCCCAAAATGCCTCTTCCACGACATGGAGGAATTGATGCAAATGATCTATGGTATTTTTTTTCCTAAAGTCATGTATTAATGATGCAATGCTAAATTAAATCTGGAAAGCTATTATATTTGCCTATTTTTGCAGAGTGGAAATCCAATTCAAACTGAGTTGGAATGTATTCGTAACAAAGCTATGGTGTTTAAAATTTCTGCTAAGGTTGAACATTTTAGGAACCCTGCAAAACCACTCCCAGTGATGAAAATGACTAAGGATGATGAGTTGGTAGAAATATACTGCCCTCTTTGAATGATGAACATGACCATCTATCTAGGATGATTGATGAAGAAGGTCAAGAGGAGGGGTCTGAGGTACATGGCTAATCTATTCAGTTAATTAATTTTATTGATTCATTTGTCTAACTATTGTTTTTTTTTTTTTTTTGGAAATAGGAGAGTGAATCTGGGAAAACTAAGGTTGGATGGTAGTGATGAACCAGTGGAGAAAGGTGCAACAAAGAGTAACTTACTAGACCAATTCTCTTCAAGCAAAGAAGTTAAAGATCCAAGGCTGTTCATATTAGGACTAGTATTAAGACTCTATGTATTTGAGTCACATTATGACTCCATATCCTAGTCTCCCTATGATTTCCCTTGTGTATATTACCCAAATCTATACAGTTGTTAGACAATTTATTCAATACAATTCTATACAGTTCTCATCTGGCATCAAATAGTTAGGGTTTTCTATGGACAGATTCAACTCCCTTCTAGAGACGTCTCATTAGTCCGAATGAATTGAAGAAGAAGAATTGTGTTTTTTTTGAATTTCCAACAACAACAATCAAGTGTCCACGTGCAACTTTGCAATCCAAAGCAAAAACACAGATTGAAGTAAAAAAAAAAAAAAAAAAAAAAAAAAAAAAAAAAAAAAAAAAAAAAAACGAGAATGCAACGTGGTAGTCGTGGCCTTGATGATCCGTGTCAAATTTGTAAAGGTTTCGGCCACACGGGAGCCAATTGTTTTTGGCGCTATGATGATCCGTGTTAAATTTGTAAACGTTTTGGTCACACGGGAGCCAATTGTTTTTGGCGTTATGATGAT